TTTTTTGATTAAATAAAAATATTTGACAAGAACTTTATATAAAAAGATTTTCAATTATTACCCATATAAATTATTCAATTTTTATATAAAATTTATATATAAGAAAATAAAAAAATTAAATTAAATCTATTCAAAATAAATAAGACTGTAACAAAAAATTATTCACCCCTTTAAGTTTGATTTCCAAAATTTGCGAAGAAGAAAAATTCAATTAGACTTAAAATACCTCCCTCGGCCCGAATTCATTAAACCCATCTATCACTCATAGGTCCATGGTTCAAAGAAATAGAATTGGGCTTTTTCCCCCAGGACGCAACCATTTTGCTAAAGCCCAAACCATATTTGGATATCAACAAATCCAATCTCACGAATTCAATAAAAAAAAAAACAATCCGATCACACGAAAATCACCACCTTGGCCATGTTGCGGCATCAGAATTTTTCTTGTTGTAAACATTATCACACTAGATCGAGGCCATTTAACTCTTTTTTTTTTCTTTTTTCTTTTTTTTTTTACAACGGGAATTGGGGGATGGAGGTCAAGGGATTTGAACCCTGGTAGGGTGGGTGAAACAACCATTCAGGACCACACAAGCCACACAATAAGAGTTTTGAGACCATTTAACTCTTTTTAATTCTATTAACGATCAAAATATTTTAATAGTCATGATCAAAATATTTTAATAATCATTTTCTTTTGCTTTTGCTAAAAAATATAATTTTAAATTTAAATTGCATGACATATGAATAGAGTGAGATAAAGAATGAGATGTGATTGCCTCTCTTTATAATAAAAAAAAAAAAAAAAAAAACTTAACCTTACAAGACCAACGCCATCAAGGCACTCTACCGCAACTTGAGCACTTCCAGGTAATTTTCCTTGAAAAACACAACCAAATCCTCCCTCGCCAAGCTTCTTGCTGAAGTTGTTGGTTACAACCTTAAACTCTTCATAAGAGAATCTCATGGGCGCTCCTGATGTGTGGCCCAGATAATCCTCCTCAACATCCTTTGCATCCTTATTCATTTGAAGGAAAAAAAAAGTCTAGATAAGAAGCACACTAAGAGTGGATCCAACTACAACTCCTACATTCTGTCTTTTCTTTCTTTGTGGAATCTATGTAATTGGAGAATTTTGCACCTTTAAAAACAGAGATTGATTTAAATGTGCAGGCGCTCTCTTAAATGACAAAGCTTTAGATCTAAGAAAGTAGTAGCCAGGATTTGAGTAATTTTTATCAGAAGGTTGAAAAAGAGCATGCATACAAGAACAGTTCTTTAAACAGGCTCTCTTGCAGCTCTTTATGTCTCTTCTGATATAAGCAGGAGAGTTCAAACTTAACAAAGTAGGGTCATCTGTATCCTTTAGCTCAAGAAGACTCTGCCATTGAGGAGACTCACCAGATATTGGATTATCTGGATAACACCCAAGATTTGACCGTGAAGGATCTATCAGCCTGAAAAACATAGGTCCACTTTTTTCAACCGATTGTCGGCAACTGCATCCTTCTTCTAGACAAATTCCATATTTTCTGTAGGCCAATGGGTAATCACATCGATTAAGTTGATCCCCAAAGAAATCATCAACTTCCTCCCAGTTTGATTCTACCCACCTGAAGAACCTCAAGTGCCCATCAGAGCCTAATTGTGTAAAACTAAATTCAAATCCTATAGAAGAGAGACCAAAAGTCATGTTCGTCACCTCGGCATAAAACTGCCCCGTTTGGCCTATTTTTTGAGACCCAGGGTATTGATAATAGACTACGGTAGTGTCAACTCTGTAGAAGCTACAAAATAACCATAATTATCAATTGAAAATGAAAATAAACCCTCACTCCAATTTGTGGTTGAAATATTTGCCACCAATTTCTACCCAAAAATTAGCCTCTGCCCAATAACCAAAGAGTCTGTTGGAAGATCAAAAGACTGCCAAACCATCTCATTGTTTCTATCAAACATTATAAGGTTACCCGAATGAGTTAACTTCATTCCTGAAACAAATTTACCTGTTGTGTTTGTAGACCAAATCAGAGTGTCATGATCATCTTGCAGTGTTAAATCCCCTTCTTGAGAAAATTAAAATTTTGCTCCAAGGCCAATCGGCTTGTTTCGATTAGTAGACCATACCATTTGTGTAGAAAATTTGAAGTTGCTACCAAGTTTAGGTTGGAAGATGGAAATAGCAAAGAGGCAGGGGGTTCCTTCATAGTTGCAGTGGAAGCCACAAACAAAACTCCCATTAACCAAGATAGGTCTCACCCATGCTGATTCCCAAAAACTGAAGTTATTTGGTACGATGTTAGTCCAAGAGACGGGTGGCATCACAGTTGATGGATAACCAAGAGCTTCAACATTTGTCAGAAGCAATGATATTAGAAACAGAGATAGAAAGGTAGCAAGAAAGCAGACGGTATTCCTTCGCCCACCAAGTACCATTGCTCTTATAATTGGTTGCTCCAATATTATATAATTGAGCGGCAAGACAATTTAAATGAATTAATAAAAAAACAAAATACAAAGCAGGAAGGACTAGTATGATAGTCAGTAGATTTGTTTTTTCATTAACTGTAAACTTTGCTCAGCACTCAATGTATAAACTTCGAATTCCCTAGTCAAAATAAAAAAAATAAAATAAAATTTAAGAAACTTACTTTTGACAAATTTAAAATAAATTAATTAACTTTAAGATTTGATCATATTTTCTATTAAATTAAGAAATAAAAACAAAAAATAGCTGCACTTGGGGTCTAATCACGTTAGGTTACTTATAAGTACATTCATATATTCCTCTACCTCCAGGGCAACCGTTCGAATCCTTCAAGGCAACGGTTTGAATCCTCCACTTATGAATTTGTTCAACAAAAAAAAAAAAAACAAAAAATAGCTATTACTATTTCTTTCCTTAAAAATGATTGCTCCGTACGTCTCTCATAGTCTAAAACAAAATTATCAACTCAAAATTAAACATATCCATATCTCAACCAACACTAGAAAGCTATGGGACAGAAATTTCCTTTTCTTTTGTTATTATATTGGAGGAAATTTATGATTAGAAAAAATAAAAGGAAAACTCACCCTTGCAAATTGCAACAGAGACAAAGGCCAAATTTTCTTCACATCTCCTGCATTCTTGTCGATGGAGATATATGCTAATCCCTTGGCGCACTTCCAACCAAAAGGAAGCGCTTTGTTTCTGCAGGATAAATTCTTTTAATTAGCAATATAGACTTATAATTCTAAGTCAATTTAAGATGCCGAATCATTGCATTTCAGGGTTATAAGAAAATGAAAGCACT